GCCTTAGACCGTGCAGCCACTGTGACTGGCATTTTTACATTTCTAGTGTATCTGTTGAGTTTCGGCGGTAGATTAACATCTTCAGCATGCGCAAGTAACCGATTCATACCAGTTCTTCCTGATCATCACCGAGGTATTAAATGTGAAGAAAATCACACGGGGAAACTTTTGCAAGAGAGATATCGTATGAATAATTATAACAGAATCCGAAAGACATGCGAAGATCTCAAACAGGGCCATTAATTACCGCAGTTTCAGATTTTCTAGTTCAAATATCCCTGAAGCACTTACTTGAACAACTCAATCCTCTCAGAAACAGAGTTATGGTTCCAAACAACTCCTGACCCTCCTGCCATCCTGTCGCCCACTCCCAGGACCACAAGTATCGAGCCAACCAAAACAGCAGCTTGAAATGTGTCCGTTATCATAACGGCCTTCATGCCACCCTGTCAATGAAATCAGTAAGCAGGAAAATTAATAATTTGATGACTCAACATAAAATGATTATACATGTCAAATGAATTTAATAGTGCACATTCTGAGCCACAAAAATCAAGTAATTAAAAAATTGCTGAAGTACAAAATCAGAACTGATGTAAAGGTACCGCTCGTATCATAATTCTGTTCATAATTCCCTTGTATTTGCCTGTATCTGGCTTTCCTATACCCACCACTAATTATAATTATTTATACTAGGCTGAATTAAACAAAGATGCCTAATTTAAAGAAGAAAAAAGTTAATTAATGTTAACAGTTTTTCCAAGATGTGTGACCAAACTTAAGATAAAGACTACACTTTGCTTAAAGTTCTATATTCCTTGGCAGACAAGTTGGCAGGGCAGGCGACTAAGCATTGACGAGAAGGTCAAGTATGTGAGTCGAAGCCATGATAGCGGCGTAAAGTATTTTCTAAAGTAACTGTCTTTCTAATGTTGAAATTGTATTAACAAAAATACTCATATATTATTCAGACGGATTTTTCAGAATTTGTATGTGAAATTCAAACCAAAATAAAATGAAAATGGATACCTAAATACGTAGATCGCGATATTCAAAAGAGAATGTGCAAGTATTGTTCGTCTATAAACAAATACAGTCAGACAACTTTTGTTAATGATTAGAAACAATCTGTAGGTTAGGTTTCATCAATATTATCACTTCATTACTTTCGCTGAATTGGCCAGGGATGCAAGTTTTTTTATTTTACATTCTGTAACTTGTCCATTGCCAACCTTAATTTTACGTTCCGTGTTAAAATCTGACAAAAGGCACGTATTTCCCATGTAGTGGCGGGAATACTCCGTCTTACAGAATATCTCTGAGATGGCCCTCTATATAAGTACACCTTAAAGAATGCAGTGACCTCCGTAAGACTGCTTTATCCCAACAGCAACATTCCCACACTCATAATTCTCACGTGTTTCCGGAGTGACTCACTGACTGGCCAACGGGAGCAACTGACATGAACCCCATTGATAGTACACATAGTGAGGCGAGGTAAACGTGGGCTGACCTTCCTCCAAGAAACAGGGATGCTGTCTGGACTCTTGAGTTGGTCACTTAGGTTCAAGTTGCTTCATCCCAGAGTCCGCGAAGACGGGAATCAGATCTGTGGTTGAAGCTCAGGGATTTTGAACATCTTATTATGGATGCCAGGTCCGAAAACAGGCCTTTTCGAGGGCTAACACACATTATATAAACTATAATTGAATACTTTAATAAACAAACGTCGATGCTATATTGTCTGAGATACTGAATTCATCATTAAATAAACCATTAATAATAAACAAGAACATTTTCAAAGTATGTGCATTTTGCAAATAGTATTATTATTTGTCTACGGTCACATTTGAACACGGAACTTTTAAATCATAATGGCGATTAACGACAAGTCATTAAAAGTAAAACAAATGCTTCACTTGCATTTCCAGCGTCACGGATAATGCGAAGAGAAAATGCGTACGATGACAATAAACAATGCTTCCTGCTTTTTAACAAATATTACTGGACTGCATATGTTTAACGGACAACATTTACACATCCTCTTTCAAATTTCATGACGTACATACTTAGGTACTCATTTCCAAATGCCTTTGGTACGAGTCCCACGCGGGCCTTGCTGCCTCCATCATCACGGCACCCTGATGATGGAGGCAGCAAGGACCTCTCAAACGTTGGTAATCTCCTAGACTACACGGCGCTACAACCCGGAAGACAGAAATCTTCAATGCGACATCCATCAAAAGAGAAAATGACATAAGAGCTGAGGTAAAGTCAATTATCAAAATTAGTAAGGAAGATTAACAGACTAAATAAAGGTTCACAAACACCCGTACCTGTGAAGCATAGAAAATGCAGACGATGTAAATACAAGACACGGCGATGTAGGTGTTCAGCCCTGTCACTGCGGAGAGCAGAACAAAATCACAAAACAGTTGCATGACATAACGCAAGTAACGTGAGAAAATCAATGTAACATGAATTTTGTTATATGATCCACTTCGCCGGATTCTCAACTTCGGACACTTCATTTAAAATCTTTTTTGTGGAATAACTGAAGTAAGGCCGCCTTAACTTCTACCACATGAATAGTTACATTCAATTCTAAATGGTTTTGACGACAGTAGTTTACACTTAAAATTATCTGTTGTCAGGACTTTTTACGTCGTCTGTTCTTTAAAACCACGACGTTTCGGAGGCTGGTTCTGTCTCCGTCTTCAGGTTTTATATGGTTTCAGAACTGGTCGCTTACAGAGCTGTATGAACGGTCTCATAATTTTTATTTTATCATTTAAGTAAATATAATCTACTGACAGACCCCATACTTGGGTGGATAGGTTGAAATTATTGCACGATTTACATTGTCCAGTCTAAGGGACCCAACAGAGTAGGTACCTCTCACCTGAAGACGGAGACAGAACCAGCCTCCGAAACGTCGTGGTTTTAAAGAACAGACGACGTAAAAAATCCTGACAACAAATAATTTTAATAGTTACATTATTCCACACCAACTGATACTACGGCAGTCCCAATTTAAAACTACATTAAAAATTTAAGAATCACATTTTACGGAGGTCACAGTGACGGGTCAAATGGTGCGATCGCAAAAGAATCACATTTTACGGAGGTCACAGTGATGGGTCAAATGGTGTGATCGCAAACATCTGTTTGTCTCATTAAGAAAATGAGACTTGGAGTTTCATATCTGAATCCAGAACAGGAGTTAGAGCACTTTTAAAACATCAAGTTATGTCATACATATAAATTTTTCTTAGAAATTCGTAGACAAATAAATAAATAAATAAATGACTATCTGATCACTAAAACTGGCAGAAAATATTAGAGAAATATTTTACTATTCAACGAAACACTGGCATAATAATAACAATATATCATCGTCAATGACTCTTAGGGGAATTTAACAATATTTTATCTCTGAACCATCTTATTTCGAGACCAGGATCCGTCACCGCTTCAGGTCTAACGTTTGGGATCATAACCCACCACTACGAATGGTTGCCCCTTGCGAAAAATGATTAATTCTTTCGCATTTCATGTTGGGCTCTGAGCTATGAGAGGCAGAAATGATTCGACTCTTACCATGACTCAGAGCTAAGGCAGGCGCGTACACAGCGACCGACGTGTACAGGATCATCTGTAACATGTACATGGCCGCTCCGTACGTCCGGACATACGAATTGAATCTCATCTCCAAATACTGCAATGCAATTGAAGATCCATTATTATTGTATATCTTTTGCTTATCAAGTGTTATTATCACTAAAGAGCATCTGAAGACTGTTGTCTCATCTACGACAACACTTTACGCATTCAACTCCAAGGTTCGAAGGTTTAGCAGGATGCTACTGCAATGTGAGGGCAAGGCTGATAAAGAATAACATCTAAAATCAGGTCTTTCCTTCAAGTTTTCTGATGAATAATCATATTTGTTCATATTATAATGCATAGTTTATTGAAAAAGGAAGTAACCAGATCAAAGACTCTTAAACTCGATGGCAGCAAAAGCCGACACCAACCTCATATGCCGACGTGAGCTTCAGATGTCTGTACACAGGCAAGTAGAAGTGCGATGTGATCGGAATCACCAGCGTGAAGGCGATACACGTCATCCAGAACTGAGTCCCGTACACATACATTTCTGCTGGATTTCCTAGTAACTCAATGGCTGTTATAAAACTGCAATAAATTCAATAATTAAGTGATGCAATGCTGAAGATTCTCACTCTGATACTTCAATAATTAAATAACTCGTTTTAACAATTTCTCAACCCGGGAAGAATTTATAGGTTCATCCCCTCTTCGACTGGCGTAAACAAGAGTCGAAAGGTCCACACAAACAACATCCGCACATGAAATTCCCAAATACATTCAATGTATATACCACATTGGCTATAATGCAGAATTATTGCAGGTCGGAGGGGTAAAGCGCGGCTGGGGTGCGACGCTGACAACTCAGCCCCGTCTAGTAGGAGCTATACCGCCTCTGCCCCAAAGCGCATGCGTGGCGAATAGCGAGACAGCTCTACTTTAACGGCCTACTATTGCAAAGTGATACCACACCCGAAGTTAATTTTTCTTAAAATTTCATTTAATATTCAGCATTACAAGAAGTTTCAAACGCAAGTTGTAGGACGGAGACTGTGCCATGGTGACCCAGCTTCACTGCCAGGTCAGTCCACGTAAGATACGTGACACACGAAACGGCATCCGGACAGGATTTTCTCCGAGTTCTTCAGTTTCACCTGTCAGTATCATTCCACCGGTGTGCCATGTTCACTCTAGGGGATGGATGACGGGCCTGTTGGTGGCTACATTTCCACGCAAACAACGTCTCACCCCATCACCGAAATAAAGAAGATGGGTGATGCACGTAGCTTGCATGGGCAAGATGAGTAACGCACACAAGGTTCTGGTTTGGAAAACCTGAAGGGAGGAGACAACTCAGA